AAACCCAACTTTGATTAATAGGGCTTAAAGTTAAAAGAAATGGAATTAACAGTTGTAGTTAACAAATGCATGGGGATAGGGGACTTTATTTTCACCATCTTTCCAATATTTTAACAGAAAATAAGGGCAAAAACTCTTAGTTTAATTTGAAAATGAAGAATGAATGAATTCAAAGTTGAATTTCCATTTTGAGGAATGGATGTTTGATAAATGAAGCGTAGGAAGTATTTCTTGGTTGTTAAACATACATGTATTTGTTATGCAAATAGAAGAAGAAAAAGAATAAGAAGAATAAGAAGATAAAAGAAAGAAGAATAAAAATAAGAAGCGGGAAGAAATAAGAAAGAAAAATGAAGAATGAATAAGACAGGGAGTGTTTTAACGGAGTTAACATGCCACACAAGCTAAAACTAAAAGCGGCTAACGTTAGGAATATTACTACGAACTAAAATTTCAATGAATGTATTGTAAGTTTAAAAAAGTTGGGTGAGCAAAATGTAAGCACCTTAAAAGTTTAGGGACAATTTGTATACTTTACCCTAAAATTTATTTTAAAATTTTATTTTTAATTTATGCTATCAAAACATGTCTTTTTCACTATCAATAACCCATGAGACCCCTCTAAACCATCATCTTACCGTTATGCATAAGCAAATCTTAAATTTATCCATACAATAATAATTACTTGACAAATTGAGACCAAAATTTCATTATTAAGTTTAAAACTTTTTATGAAAGAGGTTTTCGATTATTACAAATTGAAAAGGATTAATTGAATTAAAAAAAACAATTCTGATATTTGACCTCAATCTATGCAATTAATCTTCTAATTAAGTTTGTGTAGAAGTTAAATTAAACTCTTAAAAAATCTTTTGAGGGGCGCGTAATTTTTTTATTATTCATTTTTCATCCGTCTTAATAAATTTGTTACATTTTAATTTTTAAATATAATTTTTTATTATATCAAAATTATTATTATAATAATATTTAAAATAATGAAAGTTAAAATTTTGAAAAATAACTAAAGAACATGAATTGTAATATTTTTATTGGAATAAAAAATATTATTATTTTGATCAAATCTGATTACACGTGTTAGTAATTATTAGTAACGTTATTTTTAAAGTTAAATTATTATTTTTTGAATAGTTAAAGTTAAATTATTAGTAACTTATTTTTTATCATGAATAATGAAAATATATTATTAGGCATCAACAGTTAGTTAAATAAAAAAGTAAGGAAAAGCAGCACGTTTAGTTTGCGTCTTTTTCACGTATGCGCTCCTCCGCCACGTCACCCAATCCGTTATCTCCGTCTGTCCTCCACTTGTGGCTCTACAAATTCTTCTAATCCTTTCATTTTGGGATGCGCTCGGAGAATGATCACGTGCGCCGATTTAATATAAGATTAAAAAAAATATTATCGATTTTGTTATTATTTAAATAATAAAATCGATAAAAAGTTATCATAAACATTATTATTTTTATTAACTTTTTTTATTATTGGGTATTTTACCGAGTTTCTTAATAAAACTAATAAAGTGTTACTGGTTTTGTTATTTTTTTACCGATTTTATTATTGTTGGTCATTTTACCGGGAATGTTAAAAAATATTGATGTTTTAGGTAGAAATAATAATGTTTTAGGTAATTTTTTTATCAGTTTTATTATTTAAATAACAACAAAACTAATACTTCCTTTTTTAGCCGTATATTACGGGCTCAGTTAACCAAAATGCAACAAAAATATTTAACTTTTTCAGATTTTTTTTAAAAATTTGGATTAAAAGTAATTTTTAAATTTATTATGATTTAAATTTATTTATTTAATTATTAAAAATATTTTTTTGAATTAATCACTGGTATCCGATCTATTGACCGATTAATTCAAATCGGATACTGCAGAGGCGAGGGCGATCCTCCCAACCCAATATTCTCCATTCGCAAACGTCAATATTCGAACACTGACCTTGCTTAAGGGACCTAGTGTCTCATCCTACTAGACCAAGTTATTAAAAATATTTTTAATAAGAACTAAACATTTGATTCTTAAAATATATAATCTTACTTTAAAAGAATAATTTTAAACTTGCTAATAATTAAATGATTATCTCTAAACATAAAATAATAATAGAAAGAACAATTTTATAAAATTAAAATAAAGAATAAAATATATAAACATGTAAAAGATATACTCTGTTATAAATAAATTTATACATTCACACAATACATTAAAAATTTTATAATTACAATTCTTAATCAAAACTTGAGCTAGTCACCGGTAAATTTTAACACAAACTTATATTTCATTTTTTTAACTTCATTGGACTAGCAGCTGGTTAGCGGTCGATAAAAAAATTTAAAATGAGGGTCTGAAAATTCTGAACTCTTTTATTCAATAAAATAAATATGTAATTTTATTTTATTTTATTTTTCTTCTTTCTTTCTTTAATATGCTAAATTATATTTAATATTGAATGTACACTTAACCCCTAAAAATCAAATACGTCCGCCCCTGCACCGAACACGCCCCAATTATCTTATCGACCCCAAAATGAGCCCATATTTTCATGCCATGGACATAAAACTCCTCGATTCCGCGTAAAATTCGGCGCGCTGCCCAAGGTTAAAGTAATCAGGGTAAACTATAAAAATGATCACTATAATTTCACTTTTGTTTATTTTTTTCCATCAATTTAGAAAAATTACATTTTGATTACTTATGTTACCAATTTATTACATTTTTCACTAAATCGTTAATTCTTGCAGATGATATGTTAGAAGAAATAATTGATTTTTAAAATGTTCCTTATTTTTAGATGAAATATTAATATGATCTTTAAACTCTCGAAACCTCTCTTTTAAGTTTTAACTCACTTTATTGTCGTTCATTGTCAACATCATTTCGATTATCTTTTTCTTCAGTAATGAAAGGGTTGGCTGATTACTTGTGGTTATAAAGTGGATCTCGAAAGGGCTTCCAAGGACGTCGAGATTTACAGTAAGAGATTAAAGTTGAGTAGAGATAACAAAGATGTTTGGACTTTTTATATTGATTAGACCTTTTGTCCAACCTTCCTTACTACGTTGAGCATGGTTATATTGTAAGCTCTTTGCCGATTTGAACAAAAAGATTGTGTCGATTGTTGGTAATTCACCGCTTCTGATTTGAGCGGAGAACCATAGTTAGTGCAAAGATGGTTGTTAGTAGTTGATTCTCTATGAGAAAGAGATAGAGATAAGTAGTGTAGGAGAAAATATAAATAACATAGATGCGTGAACTGAGTAGAAGTAGGAGAGACAACCGTCTCTTCCAGCCTTTCCTCGAGGTATATATACCCCAACTATAGGGCAACTAGTGTCAGGCCTAGGGTCATTATATCTACTACTAGGCTTGCAGATTATGCATATATGACTGTCAACTATCAAATTTGGCTATGCTATAAGTCACATCAAAGGTTGAAGAGTTTGGACTCCGAGCCATCACGATAAAATAGTATAGACTCCAAAGATAGTGACATGGTGTGGTATCTTCGGAGAATTTCTAGAGGCTCTACTAAGTGGGTGTAGTCTTTCTGGACTTTTATTGGTAAAGATTTGATAGTTTTCATATGGTCTTCTCTAAAAGTATATTATACGATCTCCCCTTGGTTGAGGGAATGCCATAAAGTGACTTGACTTAAGACTTACGATGAAAAGTTAACTTATTCGGAGGACATTTTTATCGTGGTAGAAATATGGCAAAAGCATCTCAATGTTGAAATAGAGGCGTCTTGACCTCTCAGGTAGATTCGTAGCTATAAGTTATGGTAACTGCAACTCAATGCCCTTAGAGATAACTCACGACTCTATAGATACCGAGACAACTCGATGTTTCTACATTTAGAATGTGAAAGGTTTGCTACATTTGGAGGTAATTCAACGTATCCCAAAAGAAGTTCAATAAGTGATCATAGACAATTTAGTATCTCAACGCTTGTGAAAGTGGAGGATAATAATCCTTATTTAGTATATGAGTTATATTTTTGGATGCATAAGCTCACTCAGTGGACAATGACTCTTCTAAAAAGTGACGTTTCTATCAAAAGATAACATCTTATATGGAGAATGACTTCTCTTGCGAATGATAACATCTCATATGGAGGATAAGGGGAATGATGTCCTCATCTCGATGCTACGGAAGGCAGCAAAAGTATCTCAACTTTTTTAGCCAGACTCTGATGGAAGCATCAGAGTCACTATATCAAAAGATAGGGTTGAAGATTCTCAATACCTCATCTAGAGAAGAGGCATATGTAACCTTTAGAGAGATCCAATTGTCAGGTGGAGTTATCTTTGTCCTGATGTAAACAAAGGGGAAATGCCAACTCTCCCTTTACCATGGAAAAACATTTTGACGATGTAGCGGAGGCATATAATCACTCTTTGAAGGCAACTCCGAGCTTTATTAATAAAAGTGAGTGACATCCCTACATCAACCAGACATCTAGAAGCATCTCAAAGGTTTCAAGGTGGGGACATCTCAACACTTGTTAGAGTGCATATAACAATTCGATAATCAAAGTATAATCAAACTAATGGGATTAATGCCGCAATAATCATAATATAACAAATCAATAATATAAGTGATCGAATTATAAATTTTAAAAAACATTAATGACCAATTGTGAGTATAAATGAAACTTAAGTGACCATTCTTATTGTTTACGAAAGTAAAAACGTGTCGGTGTCATTTCTTAGAACTTGTAGCTGCCCTTTTTCATGTACATTTTTATTTTAACGCTAAACATTTTCTCCTTTATTTCTTTTAAATTTAATAATTTGCCTTTAGTCCATCTTATAAAGTTTGCTTTCCGTTAACTTCAAACTTCAATCAAGGCTAGGCACTCACTTCCTTTCAATTCACTCACTCCCTGCCTTTCTCTTTCTCAAGAAAACTCAGTTGATCAACAATACCAGGGAATTAAATCTGTTATTTTCTTGTTAATTTTTCCCGGAGAAAATGGAAAGTTTTCTGACAATTACCGTTATTTCGACATTGTTGATGATCTTACTAAGTTTAGAAGTAGTTAGTTCAGAAGAATCCGGTTCCAATGAAGTCAAATGCACGCCTTGCCAACAAGAAGTCCCATCGCCGCCTTCGCCGTCCCCACCACCTCCGGCTGCATCACCGCCTCCACCTGCTTCTAGTTCTAACAACTGCCCACCGCCACCGTCTCCACCCAGCTCTAGTGGAGGCGGTAGCTACTATTACTCTCCACCGCCACCATCTCAATCCGGGGGTGGTAACAACTACTACGCTCCGCCGCCTCCGGGTGGCGTCATTGGTGGCATGTACTACCCTCCACCGACGTACAAAAACTACCCAACACCGCCGCCGCCGAACCCCATGGTTCCTTACTATCCGTTTTATTACCACACTCCGCCTCCTTCGGGGTCTGAAAGATCGTTAGCTAGCGCGCTCTCAACTCTTGTTTCCTTGTTTGGTTTCTTCCTTTGTGTCCTTTGACATTTAGAAAAAAGAAAAGAGAAAATAATGTGGCAGATTAGCAGATCTGGGGAAAATTTTCTACGGCATGAGAGTACGAAGATGGGCAAAGACATGGAGAAATCTCTCTCTTTTTTTTCTCGGAACTTTTTTTTATTTTCTTGTTGTAGAATGAACTGTGTAGTTTGTTTTGTGATCAATTTCGTTTCATTAAATATTTAATGTTAATTGGAAGCTAATAAGAAAATTAGACAATAATTGAGCTTTCTAATATTTATTTGTGTTGATGAATTATGATTTTTATCATTTAATTACGTGCTTAGGTTAATTGAATTGGGTTTAATAGTTGATTAAATAGTTATTTTTGTATTTATTTTTTGTAATATTTTGATTTCCAACGTTTATTTTAATGTAAAAAGATTTTTATATAGATAGAACCTAACAAATAATTAATGTTTTAAAATAAAGATTTTTTAATCCAAAATTAAACGTCATGATTAAAATACTCTTGAAAATAAAAAATAAAACTGAAATAATTATTTAATTAAATGTTTGAGATTTTTTTACATTAAAATGAAATACTAAAAATTAAAATCTTAAAAAAATAAGAGTCAAAATAGTGTTTTAGATTAATTTTAAAATCATGTCTTTACATCTACACAACTTTTAGTACATTTAAAGGGAAAAAGAGAGGAGAAAATGAATTATTTTACTTAAGTATATAAATGGGTTATTTCGCTGCATGTTTAAAAACTCTTGTTAAATTGTTTTTTTTTTCATTATGTGGGATTATAACGTCTTTGGTTGAAAAATAAAAAGCAAGAGCCATTGCCCTAAACATGTCAACCCGGTCCTAATAAATAAAGAATGCATGGAAGCTGCTCAGACCAATTCGCTTTTGCAGCCGAAATGATAATAACGAAGGGATTCTGACACAAGCCTATGTGGCCACCTCATTTTTATGAGGCACCACCAAGCCCTACTCTTTGGGACATATGATCCCAAAACCTGCATTGCGGTTTTCATTGGAACTTTCTCTTTGCTTTCACAATTGCATTTTATGAATGTGGAGTAAAGGTGGGTCGTCCTTTATATTAAAGGTTCCCTTGCCCTTAATTTTTTTGCAAAATAAATGAGTCAGGTCCAATTCATCTTAGCTGGTTGAACGCCAAGTAATATGTTGATCAATGCTGGGGACCACCCAACTAGGCCCAAGGTATACCACCAACTCTAAAGACAATTTGTGTCTATGTTTACACTAACTAGTGTAAACACTAGGAAAGATCATTTCCAAATTATTCCATTTGGAAATTTTAGATATCTAAATTATATTTTTAAAGTAGCTGTTTAATGTTTTTAATATTATTTTTAATGTTTATATCGTAACAAATATTATTAGAAAATATTATTATTTGACACGTGCGTTTATATATATTTAGAAATTTTATTTAAAAAACTTAAAATTAGCATTATTTTAAAAAAAATTAAATTTCTTTAAAATCACTAAAATCCCCTCAAATCTTAAAATTCTTAATTTTAAATTTTATTTCTGCGATCATTATCAATTATCTTGACTGTCACCTCTAATAACGAACAATTATCTATCTATCACTGTTTATTAATTGACCGATCGTCATCTTTGTTGATACCTCAATTCTCTAAACACTTAGGTGGTATTTGTTTTCACTGTGCAAGCTCTTCAAACCACTTATGTCTGCGTCGCACAGACACGCGCATACATTTGGCTTCGCATACTGTTTGTTTTTTAGAAGACAGAAGCTCTTCAAACGTCTACGCGAGCTCTTCTTGGTGCAGACTTGGTTTTATGTCTTCAAAGGTCTTCAAATATCTTCAAGAACAATTATAAAATATAGTTATTTATTAAAATAATTTTAAATAATTTAATAAGGTTATTTATTTTAAAATAATTTATTATAAAATAATTTATTTTAATTATTTTAAAAATAATTTATTATAAAATAATTTATTTTAAAATAATTTATTATAAAATATGGATTGGTTTATTTTAAAATAATTTATTTTAAATAATTTATTAGTATGGATTGATTTATTTTAAAATATGGATTGATTTATTTTAAATAATTTATTAGTATGGATTGATTTATTTTAAAATATGGATTGATTTATTATTGTAGTTGTATGGATTGATTTATTTTAAATAATTTATTAGTATGAATTGATTTATTTTAAAATATGGATTGATTTATTTTAAATAATTTAGTATGGATTGATTTATTTTAAATAATTTATTTGTATGGATTGATTTATTTTAAAATATGGATTGATTTATTATTGTAGTTGTATGGATTGATTTATTTTTAATAATTTATTAGTATGGATTGATTTATTTTAAATAATTTATTTGTATGGATTGATTTATTTTAAATAATTTATTAGTATGGATTGATTTATTTTAAAATATGGATTGATTTATTTTAAATAATTTATTAGTATGGATTGATTTATTTTAAATAATTTATTTGTATAGATTGATTTATTTTAAAATATGGATTGATTTATTATTGTAGTTGTATGGATTGATTTATTTTAAATAATTTATTAGTATGGATTGATTTATTTTAAAATATGGATTGATTTATTTTAAATAATTTATTATTATAGTTGTATGGATTATTTAAATTTCAGTATTGTAAAACTAAAATTATTTAAATCTCAGTATTGCAAAATTCTTTTAAGTTTAAAAAATCAGTTTATTTATATTTCAGTTCATTTTAGTTGTCTGCAGACGTTAAAAAACAAACAGTCTTCTTCTTGCAGACTGCAGACTTTTGGTCCACCTCTTCTACTGCAGATGCCTGCTGATGTGATCCGCAGACTTTTTACCTCTGCAAAAACAAACATCACCTTAAACTCCTAAATTCATAATCCTAAATGAGGGGATTTAACGCTGTTCATAACACGGGGAGGGGGCTTTTATAGTAGTGACGAAGATTGCCATTGAAACGGGAAGAGGGAATTAGGGTACAAAATTAGTTTTCTTAAGATAATACTTTTATTTTTTTAAATAAAATATTTTAAAATGATGAAATGTTGATGCTCCGGCACAAAGACCGGGTATTGTTAAACCGCAATATGAAAAGAAAAGGAAAAAGAAAATAGATATGAAAAACAAATATAGAATATTATGTTTTTACTAATTGTAGAAAACAACCTACAATAATAGATATTATTTTAGCCATTACAATAGGAGGCTTATATAAACAATTAAATCTTGATAACAAGCTAACTAAGTGTAACTACCTAATAGCAAAATAACAAATATTAACTAATTCTATTAACATTCTAATATAAAATAAAAATATGACTGGTCAAATAACAATTTTTTTAACCGTCGTGACAGATATAATACTTTAAAAAAATTAACATAAAAAATGTCAAACATTTACTTTGAACTAAAAATATTTTATATACCTAAAATCAAATAGGTATATAATTTGAAATTTTATTTTATCATATTATATCGTATGAGAATTTATCATTTACAAAATTCAGATAAAAATTCTTTTTTTTTCTCAGTATATCCAAAGGAAGAGTAGTTAGAGCTTGTGCCTTCAGCTTTGCTCTAAACACCACTAAATTGCTTTTCAAAATCCCCTGAAAATGAAAAAGGTGACGGTTGATTTGACAATTCGGTGATCACCGGATCCTCTCTGGCCATGGTTGTCAACCGATGAGACGGCGAGCCAGGCGGTGATGCATACAGGACGGAGGTTTGAAGAACCTGTTGGCGAACATGGTGGTGGTGTTGGAACATTTTTTGGGCATGTAGTGCTGTTAAGTACAATCCCGCCACCAAGAAAACAGTAATCAATGTGAAGACACCAGCAGCGCAAAACAAGCCTTTTCCGAGGATGAGACACCCATCTCTTGGCTTCCACCACTTATTCAAATGTCCCGATTCCACACTTACCCCAATCAACAACAATATCTCCCCAACTGCAAAGCAAACCCTGTAAACATAATTCATTTGCTTTCCCTTTCCTTGTTTGTTTAAACAATTATGACCTTTGTAGAAAAGGGTTTTCAAAATTCATAAGACTTGTTTTAATAGTATTAGAGATTTCCCCCCCTAGAAATATATTCTAAACAATAAACATATAGTACTATATTATAATCTCAACATTATTTGGAAAAAAGGAAAATTACATGTTTAATATTTAAATTATCACTTTTCTTCTAGTTTAGTACTTAAATTATTTTTTTAAAACTATACTAATTATTTAGTTTAGGTTTCAATTTAATACACCGTTGTTAAAAACTTAACATAGAATTCACATTACAAAACATGTTGAATATCTAGAAAGGAAAAACAATTTCACGTCATCACTACAGCTAAATTTTTAATGACAAGATACTGAATTGAAACCTAAATTATACGTAACACATAATTTTGAAAAAAAAAATTAAATACTGAAATGGAACAACAATAATAACTTAAGTACTAAATGTGTAATTTACCGAAAAATCATAAGCATGGTAGAAAAAAACATCCTTCCAAAAGGCTCATAAATAACAAGAGTTGGAAATTGAAAATTGAATGTCCATTAAGATTGTCTTAAAATAGTTTTATGTTTCAAGAGTCTTACCAAGTGGTGACAAACGCAGCCTGCCATGTGAGAGTCTTGAAACGAGCAGAATCAAGGTCCCAAGAAACCATTCCTGCCGATGGAGGCGGCGATTGACTCACCGCAATCAACATGTACACATGCTCCACCAACATCACAGCCGCGTGTCCAACAAACGCAACGCCCGAGCACAACAACGGCGTCTTGCCGCTGCCACTGTAAACGCATTGGTATTTCATGTCTTCCCCATCATCCACCCGCTTCTCCTGCCCAAATAATATTGTATCAATGATACAAAACGAACTGAATCATGAAAATAAAGAAAAACACCATAGAAAAGTATCAATAGAAAATATACCGGAAAATGCTTAAATATAAGAACATTTAAAAATTTAGAAATTTTAGGAGATAAGATCCGCGATCATAATAACATCTGTTATATAGTGGTAGCATGTCGTCCAATATTATTATTGTATGATCACAAACCTGAAATCACCATAATAACACTTGTGTATGCAATTAGATAAATACAAGACAACTGAAAATATGATTTCAATTATTATTTAAATTTGTAGCTGGAAGTACCTGGGAACGAGTGGCTTCGGCTATGAGACAAAGGACGAAGCAAAAGAGGCCACAGATGACGGTAAAGACAACGAAAAGAACGCTAGTCTTGCTGCTCAATTCAGTGGTTTTACGGCTGGGTGCGAGATCAGCATGCGTGACGGCTACTGGTTTAGGCATTTTCTGGCAAGTCTAAAACAACAAAGACTCCATGGAGATTAAATGGTTTGGGTCACCAAAAGGAATTGCTTGGAGCAAAGGTTGCTTCTTTAAAGTTTTCCAGAGAAGGAAGATTGGCAGTTCCACAATAAGTATTAGTTTAAAGATAAGAGGCCAGAATTGCTTGGTCATGGTAGACACGTGTAATACGTTTAGTCCTCATGGTTTCCCACCATTTTGTCTCGAAGTGCATTTTCTGGTGCTTTCTTTTTATTCCCTTTGGCTCAAATACCATTTTAAAAGCTCATGCAAATGTGAAAACTCTGACTCTACATTCATAGTATACCGAATTTTCTTTTTTGTCTCGCCTACCATTTCAATGAAACTAAACAGATTTGAGCTTTATTACTCAAATATACCATTTTTAAATCATAAGGGCGCGTTTGGTTCACGGAATGTAAGATTACCTGTGGGAATAAAAGATTACCTGTGGGAATAAAAGATTACCAGGGAATATGATTACTAGAAATGTTACATTATTGTGTTTGGTTGGTTTGGCAGGAATGTAATATTACAATGTTTGGTTGGTTTGACAGGAATGTAATATTACAATATTTGGTTGAAGGAATAAAAGATTACTGGAATGTATATTTTACCAAATTATCCTTGTTCTATATTTTTTAACAAGTGAAATTCTAAATACTTAAATAAAAATTATTTATATAAAAATTCATCGATAATATATTTAAATAAAAATTCATCGATGATATATTATTTTATTATCTAAATATATCATGTATTATTTTAATTTTAATTAATATTAAATTTTACATAATTTATCTAAAAATATATTAAAATTTTACTTCAACATTTAATTAAATGTTCAATATTAGGGATTTTTAATTTGACTATGATATTAAATCGACCATGACGATGATTCTGTTGGGTAATATTTTCCACACAAAATAGCTATGACCATTAAAAATAAGTTTTTCATTCTTGTTGTCGAGGATTTATTAGATGAATTATTAGGGGTTAAATATTTTTTACTATTACCAGATCTGAATCAAGGAAGATGATATACAAAAAAACTACTTTTAAAACTCACCACACCCATTTTGAATTCAAAGTCATGCTAATTGGTCTTACGAATACCCAACCATATTTCAATCTCTAATGAATGAGCTTTTTGGACCATATTTGAGAAGGTTTGTTTTGGTTTTCTTTGATGATATATTAATTTACTCTGACAATTGGGACTTACATTTACAACACTTAGAAATAGTATTACAATTACTACAAACTAACTGATAATTTGTCAAAAAGAGAAAATATTTTTTTGAACACGAAACGGTTAAATGTATGGGACACATTATTTTTGTCCAAGGAGTTGCAACGGATCCTAGAAAACACTGTCCGAATACCAGCCAAACACTATCTAAATCCATCCTTTTTATCTTTGCTATTTTAACTAGTCATGGTTCTACTAGAGAAAGTATCAACTTCACTTCCCTTTCCATTTTCATGTATCAAGCTGAAACACTGTCCGAATCCAGCAATTTAGGCAACTGAATTTTACGATTACAATTGTTAGCCAAAAGGAATATGAATGTTTTATTCATAGTCCAAAGAAACTCGAGAATTCGGATTTAAAACACCAATTGAATCAATACACCAAGAGCATATACTAGCCACAAAGCAAACAAGGTACCACTTCCATATAATATGATTGAATATGCATCTTCATTGTCAAGCTGAGGTGTTTAGTATTCCAATCATCAGAATTGATTCAGAAACCATTAGAAATGGAAAGTACTTGTAAGAAAAGAAGCAAACTATAAAAAAAACTCTCAAAGTATGATGAATTGAATGTGAGTAAACTTACAACACCGTTTAAAATTGAATTCTTTTTAAATTAACTATAGAAACAGGGATAAAGAGGGACAAACAAAACAATATGATCGGCCAAAATTACGAGGAAAGCTATTTATAAGAATTGAAGAAAGAAGAAAATGAATTGGAACTAATCATCACAGCAACCAAATTGCAAATTCATTAAAGAAATTAACTAATACATAATGAACAAAATCTAAGCAAGGCAAAGAACAGAAAAGAAGTGGTTCTAACCTTCACTAAGGTGAAAACACAAAATATCATTTCGGGGAAAAAGATATGTACAAAGGGAATATGACCCTCTAAGGATCTTAATATATAAAAATCTTTTAAAAAAATGAAAACATACACATATCCCAAACTCACAACTGAGTCCAAAATCCAAACAACAATGAGTGAGACAGATGGTGAAAAACTATGATTAAGTTACTATGTTGCTCAGGTAACCGCTCAGGATCGATAAAATGGTCGAAAGTTTCATCAAGCATTCAACAAATGCCTTCATTGATTCCAAAACCTCATCATTGCAAACTAATTTGATAGCAAAAAGGGAGCATAAAATCAAACAAAAGTTCATTCTCAGTCAAGTAAAGAACCTATGATGCTTTTTTTTTTTTTCAATCCATTCTAATAGATCAAATCAACAGGTGCACATCTTTGTAGCCAATTATGGATTTGAAAAGCATAACCACTTGTAATAATCATACCATACACCAACCATTAGCCCCAATTGTGAGAATAGACATCTAAACCAGTTAACAGAATAAGAATTTGGGGGGAGAAAAACACCATGCAATTCAACATATACGAAGCAATTGTGAAATCTAGCACGTCTAGAACATCCATACTAGAAGAATATGAGAATTCAATTTGTGCACGATTGATCCAAGTTAACATCTATTCTGACCTCCCTCAATTTCTAAACATTGTTGCTAACTAAAATCCTTCACTACCATATTTCTAAGAAAATGCCTAGAAGTTTCAGGTAAATACAAGTTCAGGGAGCATCAAATCCAACTTACACCAAGACTATCATTAAGCTTTTGCAAACAAACTTCCCCGTTTCAACTAAGTCCAAAACATGCCAGGACAAAAAGCTACCCAAAATGTTTCCATGTCTTCTTTTCAGAACAAAATAAACATTCAAAAGCCCTCACACCAGGGACACCAATTAACTTACTTTTTTAGTGAATTCCGTGAAAGACAACATGAAAAAAATTGCTATACAACAGGATAGAGGACCAGAACTACATTAAAGAGGTGTATTTGAGCTTGAGTCAAATTCATAGACAGCACATAACTAAAGCTTAATTATGTTATTCAACTCTTGAAATTTGCTCGAGCTTGCTTAATATAAGGTTCCTTTCCATATCCGAAAAACAATAGCCTCTGCTCAAGTTTTAGTACAGTAAAAAGAAGCAAAGCATGGTCTTATTTTTTAGTTTCATTCCAAACAAGCAAACAGTGCTATAAAAAAAATTAAACCCTAAAAAGCCTAGTAAGTAATTACTATGTTAATCATTTAAATCCTTTTCGTCATCTAAAGTTCAAAACAAAAAGAATCAAACAATGAGCAATGTAGACCTCATATTACTATATTTTTAAAGAGACCCAAATTTCCACAAGTTAGCCTTGCATACAAAAAATTTAGAATAATAATAAGAAAAATTAAAAGAAATTAAGAAATTCGAACCTTTCAAACCAGAGCTACTCTCTTCTTCCTTTTTATCAACCTTCATTGGCTCCCTCTTCACTTCCTCCTTGACCTCCTCTTTTTTAATTTCCTCCTTTATCTTCACATTCAGATCCACCTCTTCAGCCTTCTTGTTCTTCTTCGCACTCTCACAATAGCCACAATTCCTTATCGACGTATCTTTCCGAAGAAAATCACTTTCTTTGGCTAGAAAATCGAAGACTTTGTCCAAAAACCCAACTGGATCGGATGGATCCAAGCTCGCGTTAAACGGAACCGCTTTCAGTGGCGGCGATGAAGAAGTCGAGAGTTTCATTCCGGAATCGTGTTAAACGAAGGGAGAAGGCTATTTTAGACCGGGGGACGGGAATAATGAAATACCTAAGGGAGACGAGGAAAGATATTCCCGACAAAACAGTAAAAAAAGTTATTGTTGGTATTATTTTTTAACTGGTACTTGATAATGAGTCTCTATCCAAACGTAGGTATATTCATCTAGGAAAAAAATATTCCTCCCATTCTATCCATGTTCACATTAAAATCACTTTAAAAAAGTTTCTACTTGATATATTCAAAGAAAATAGAAGTAGACGATTTCCTGTAAAAAAAAAATCTTCCCACGATTGTGTTTATTGAATTTATGATTTAAATCTAAAAAATTGTAAATACTAGCGTAGTCTTTATATTTGGATTCATGGGATTTCACCCCCCCCCCCGCTAAAATTGGAAGAGTAACTAGCAATAACATCAAACATGGTTTCTTTGCAAACCTACTAATTATTTAACTTAAATATATCCTGATGCATCAGCATTCAAATTCTAAACCATAAAACCGATAAAAATCAGGTTTCCAATCATCATATCGCGACCCAAGCATAATGGAGAACCAATATGAGAAATTGGAGATAATGTGACAAAGCATTTCAATAGCAATAGCCTCTTTTAGCCACATATTGTGGTCAGTTAGTAGGTTTTGGAAGCAGTAGGCAGGAAGGAGATATATATATTTCATTTGCTTTTAAGAGTTCATGGTTGTGGATGGTAGTAACATTAAAATCCCCTCACTTGACAATGCACTTGTATGCTCAATAACAACAACCCGATGATTTACGATTCCTTCCCATCTTTTCAGCTGTACATATCCCACCTCGGTGGCAAGTAACCAACCCCATCTTTTCCTCGAGTTCGATGGCATCTTTTCATCAGATAGTTTCACTCTTGGGCCCATATGCCGTTTGTAAGCCCATTATTTCATTGGGTCTAGTTTAAGGTGTTACAAAAGATAAAAAAATATTATGAAAATTTTAATTATCATTTTAGATGAGGTTTTTTATTTTTTTTAAATTGATTTAGTACCAATTCAATAAGCGATTTTATAGTAAACTAAATATTATTACACTCACAATATATATGAAATAAAACTTTTTGTATAAAAAATATACTTATAAAATATACATATGCCACATGGATGATAACTTAGTTATTATAAAATATGTTTTTTTATTTTTTAAAATATAAGAACTAAGTTAATCTTGAATATTGAAATGCTTTAATATATCTCAGTTTATATATACAATAATCCGTGATTAAGGATGTTGAGACAAAACTCAAAATTAGATTACCCAAATTAAGGTAGTGATATTAGAAAATGGTTAATCAATAGCCAATCGAAAAAAGGAGTCCATAATTTCCGCATCTGATCAAAACCATTGGCCCACTGTGCAATTATTGAACATGACTACACAATTAAAACCATGTTATCAATATAATATTTTTATGCACAAATAATTATATTTATTTAATAAAAAATAAATAGATATAATTTTTTTTTAAATTATATAATTAAATTAAAACTCATGTATTACATTATACATTTGATCAAAATTCATATATAATTTTAATATTTATCCTATATATATATAATTAATCTAGGGTGGTTATAAATGGTAGTGTAATGAATTAATTTTCTGAGTCAACTTAAATGTTGACTCAAGAATTTATTTAATATATTTAATATAACATGGAGGTCTATCAGGTCGAATTTGAGTTCAATTAAGTGAGGAATTGACCTTATTGAAGATAAAAGAGGATTTGTGAAAAGAGAGGTACCTATAATGTAATTTTCTTATTTAGAAAAATCATTACTGCCATGAGTAAAATTTTAGCTGATTTGGGCGTGAGTTTTGGGAGGGTGCAGATCACCCCAAAACTTCTCATTCGCCCTTTCATCTTTTCTATTCTTTCTTTTCTCTTCTTCATTAATGAGAGCTAAAAAAGGCTTCACCTTTCGTCATCTTCTTCTTTTGTCCGAAAATCCAAGGTAAGACTCATGATCCACATCATAAACTCCAAGACGAGCTCTTCATTTTTAGGGGTGTTTAAAAATACCCAGTTCAGTTGACCCATCCTGTTGACCCACTGACCCGAACTTAAAAAATCGGGTAATTTATTTTAAAAGAATTACCCAAACGAGTAGGGTACGCGACCGTGATTCTTTTGGGTAGTTGGGCCAAGTATGAGCCAAAAAATTTTAACAATCGAGTACCCGACCTGTTACACTCTGAATTTTTTTGGATTAATATTAATAATTTTAATTATTATTAAAGGGACCAAATGGTAAGATTTTGGAAGTTGAGATTTGTTTTGTGAACTTTCGAATAGTTAAGGGGATCAAACTATGCTCTATCACTTTTTAGCTATTAAAAAAATAAAAATAAAAATAAATGGTTCATGGGATTTGAACTTGCACCCTTTAGAAGCTTCACTAGAAATCCTTACCATCTCAGCTATATCACTATAACTAATGGAAATTGGTGATAATATCAGGTATATTAATTTTGTCAGTTTTGGTAATTATTGTCTAAAAAACTATTTTCTTCCTAGTTTGAAATTAACATTCAAAAGCTTCTAAAAATTAAACCCTTTCATTGTCTCTAAGCTACCTACCAATATTCACCAGCCTCGTATAGGTTGTGATCGTCACCATTGACACCAACAACTCTGTCATCGTCATGCGACCCTAACCCGACCATCGTTTTCCCAATTCATCAATTGTTTAACGTAAAAAGATGAAAGATCGTTTGACTCAACGATTTTCAATCTCGGCCACCACTCGTCGGTGAACGTAACCACCTGGTCCATTGGAAGCGCTACCATTTTCTAACCAAACCTTTGTTAACCACGCTTCGAGAATTATCTTTGTTTACCATAGAGAACTCTACAAAAGCTTCACTGGAAAAACTAAAACCCTGACGCTACTTTTGACAATTTTTTGCCTAACCGACCGTTCATTCGCCTCATTGCCTACACCGTTGAGATCATCGTGTTATTCTGATCAAACTTAATTGGTGGGTTGCATCGTCATCGTTGTTTTCTCCGACAACCGTGGGTAAACCTTCGAATTCTTTTTTTCTTTCGTTCCACCTTATATTGGCTAATAATTTATCTATTTTTGGGTTGATTTTGGTGTTTGGTTACATCGCCTTTCTCTTCCCCTGTCACCGATGCACGTACCATCATGTGCCACTGTCGCAAGTATACTTCTTTTCTAGTCGATACTGTTGGGTTATGGGGTTCAGCGATCACCCTTAGGGATTCTATCGTGTATGGACGCGATATCGGTGTGTGACTGTCTAACTTGCCAAGGCCCACATGTGCCTTGCGAAGCCCCTAGGCCCGCCTGCAGCACACTATAAATGCGGGGCTCTGCAATACTGTGGTGAACTGTGGAGGGTGCCCATAAGAATCCACCTTGGCTTGGGGGAACCCAGTGATCACCCACTACAAAGATATGAGGTTAAAATGGCCCACCTACTTATCACCAATTGGTTTTAAGAATGAATGGTGATCATTTACTTCAGAACTCTATGGTTAAGCATGCTTGGACTAGGGAAATCCAAGGATGGGTGATCCACTAGGAAGTTGTTTAGAAATGAATGACTCGATCCTAACAACTGGTATCAGAGCATGTTGCATGTTCAAATCCCCAAGTGTCGCTGGGGGTGATTATTGGGTTATAGAGTCTAGCGATCACCCTTAGGGATTATATCGTGTATGGGCGCGATATCAGTGCGTGACTGCCCAACTTACTGAGGCCCACGTGTGCCTTGTGAAGCCCCTAGGCCCGCCCGCAACATGCTATAGATGCGGGGCTCTGTAATACCGTGGTGAACTGTGGGGGGTATCCCACAAGAATCCACCTTGGCTTGGGGGAACCCAATGATCACCCACTACAAAGATATGAGGTTAAAATGGCCTACCTACTTATCACCAATTGGTTTTAAGAAGGAATGGTGATCATTCACTTCAGAATGTTGTGGTTAAGCGTGTTTGGACTAGGGAAATCCAAGGATGGGTGACCCACTGAAAGTTGTTCATAAATGAATGACTCGATCCTAACAACATATTGTTGGGATTTTAGGAAGCTCGAATCGACAACTGTAATGGTTTGCAAAGAGGGGTCGGAACGGTTTTGTGTTTAGGGAGTAAGGAGATTGAAAGCTAGAGAATTGCACAACGATTTATAGTGGTTCGACTTTCTCAACCAATGTCTACGTCCACTACCTTAGCTATCCACACTAAGGATTTTCCAACAAATTCACTAATTTGTTCTTTTTTTTAGGATAAAGAGTAACCTTACAAACTCCCTAGTTTTTCCAGGCTAAACTAAAACATTTCCTTAGCTTTTACATGGGATTAGCTAGAACCTTTCCCCTTTACAAAAAGATAAGAAATGTAAACAAGAAAACCTCTCTAAGGTAGGTGTTTACAAGAATTAAACTCACAAGAACAAAATATTTACAAGAGAAAGATGAAATAAGAATGAAAAACTCTTCTCTTGTGTTTGATTGCTTGGATAGTTGTTCTCTTACTTCTTCAAGTGTCCTTAGCTTGTATTTATAGCTTGGAATGTGTTTGAATTCGTATATAGGTGTTTGAAGTCATATCGATTCCCTTAGTGTAAAATTCAAATATTTCGACCGTTAAACAGGGGAAATCGGTACCCCCTTGGTGAGGAATCGGTTCCCTCCGAGCATTCTATTTTTCTCGGAGCCAAACCATTCAGGGGGAATCGGTACCCCTTGGGGGGGGGAATCGGTTCCCTATGGACAATCTGGAATTTTTGGCTTTGAAACGGTTCGAAATACTTTGTAAAATTGTTTTGAAATTATTTTAAGATTAAAACTTAATTTTACACTTGAGTAAGGATTAAAAATAACATTTGAAAGATTTGGAGTAATATTTTGATATTCGAATAATTATATCGAATATACTTAGAAAATCTTTTGGAAAATCTTAAAATTCATTTAACTTAAT